GTACTCAGTTTCAGTTCAGTTTGCACAACCATTAACCACGTACTTTCGTGCGCTGGTTTTGGTTGCTGCCTTTTCGCTGCCCATTTGGATGAAGAATAGGAGAAGAAAGGAAAGTTGAAAGTAGAGTCGAACAGAAAATGGAGAATTTCAGTGGTCTAAGGTTCCAAAGAAACTGAGATGCACGAACGGCACTGTTTACCACACTCAGTCGTATCACTCAGTATCTTTAACAACCGGTTACGATCATCCCAAGGTCCCCATCCAGGGAGCCTAACGGGATCTATATGACCCGGTCCCGTGGTCAAGGTTTTCAAATCCTAGTGAGAACCGGGCTGGTGTTAGACATGGTCGAGGTCGTATCGAACACATTTTCACTGTTGACCAAATTTTAGAACACAGACAATCCTTTCGTAGAACTACCATTCCTATCTCTATTGATATGAAGGCAGCCTTTTACTCAGTCGACCGCTATGAAGTCGGGGCTGCCTCACTCTGAAGGGTGTGTTCGAGAAGTTTATTTCCATTTTGGGATCTCTTTATACTAATGACCGAAGCCGAGTTCAAGTAATGGAACAAACAGCCATAGCAACGTACCGGTTTAAATTGGACGCGGAAGTTTGTGTTATTGAGCTTATCGAACGAATGGACCAAATCGACCGTTAGAATGAACAAACGGGAAACGCCAAGTCTGTGTGGTTAGTCAAATCCCATTAAGTGTCAGAAGAGGGAATTCGGTTTCGTTCGGGAGTCATTAATAACTTAGGGAGTAATACGGAGTCGAAGTTTGGTAAATCAGCAAAATGGGTTATAATGACGTTCGAGCAAATTATTTGCTATAAGCAACTTTCCACCCTGTAGAAAAAAACACGGATATTGCAAATGCCGAATGAAAATAGGCAAACGACTCACCTCACGTATCGGAACATGGGGTGGTGATGTGGCACCTTGTAGGGAACCGGTCAGATGGGCATACGGAGATGGAACTATTCCGCGTGGATGCATCATTCCTGGATCGTATCGGATGTCTACACCGGACTGTGTCCCTGGGCCGATGATCGGACTACCATGAGCTGCGTGATCAACTAACAGATCTGGGGGGCCCCGATACCGCAGTGGACTGAGACCTGAACGTGGAACAACGGAGTGTTCCTCGATCCCGGGTGGGGGGGGAACTGGGGCAGCGTAGTGATGAATCATACGATCTGGGGCTGATAATGTTTGACGCGGATAGCCCTGTGGGGCAGACCCCATAGGCCATGGGGCGCCGTATGGTAAATGGAACGCGGCCGCGTTCCCGTTGCCTTGTACAGGTGGTGGCAAGTAACTTCCAGCTGTGGGTGCATACGGGGAAATGAGCGGATGAAACCGTGGCGTGCAAGGAGTAGACAGATCAAACGGATACCCGGACGCATGGGCAGGTCCAAAACCTGGGTGTATCAGGCCGGGAATTGAACAAACCGGTGTGGTCTGATGCGAATGCGGAACAGTGTACGGTTTGAAGGACTGAGGCAACACTAAAGCAGGAAACTGAGGGTGGGATGTTGTAGAAATGACGCAGAAGGTAGAGGGAAGAGCTGACTATTGCGTCCTTAGTAAAAGAAAAAAATTGCTGAGATCACTCGAAAATAATATTTTTGAACTAGGACACAGCATGAGACGCAGCAAAGAGCTGATTTTTCA